CCTTATTTTTCTTTTCTGGTAAAGCAGGTACCTTTTTCCGTCGCCTAAGCGAAAAAAAGAAAAAGTGATGGCAGCGATGATTTGGACTCGATGATCCTTACGGGTCCCTTCCAACTTGAGATATCCTACGATTCTATGATGCGATGATCATCATTCAAATGTTTAGATATGGAAATACCTTTTATTGCTTTTTTATTCCTTTATTTTTATTTAATTTTCTATGTTATTTATTTAGCGATTTATTTATTTAAATTACCATTATACCTTTTATTCTCTCGTGACCCAAGAGACAATCACCCAGCCTGCTGGCCCCTCTCGGCAGCGAGCACGCGGCGACATCCTCTTCGCTTCAAGAGGAACAGAGACTGAGCACAGACCTGTCGAGGGCTGGAATTTCTTTCCAGTTTTTCCCTACCAGCGTATTCTGGTTTTGTAAGTTGAAGTTTGGCCATGGAAACGCTTTACGGGGGCTGGGGCAGCTCCTTTTGGGGTGACTGAATAGCCTGTCCATTTATTGATGCCCGTGATTTTTTTGTCCCCCCCCCATCGGTGACAGCTCTGCGGGAGGGAGGGGGATTCCCAGCAGAGTATCCGAGGCGAATAATTGGGATAGCGGGGCTTGCAACTGGGTCAAAACAAAGACTCCGATGCAGAGGGGAAGCTGAATAATTTCACCGGCAACTCTTTAACGAGCCGCAAAAAAAAAGAGCAGCCCTCGCGTAGCCCTGGCAATTCTCCTCGGATGTTGTGCTGAAAAGGATCACAAAAAGTTTGTGCAGCCAAACGTAACGGGTGGGTAACAGCCCGTCTCGGAGCCTCGCGAAGGGGCGGCTGCTGCTTTTCGTTCCTTGCATGAAAGTCGGAGCTGTACTGCAAATAAAATGGATTTTAGTACGGATAAGGCCCGGTACTTTTATGTTACTGGTCAGGATAAAGCCTGAGCGGCGGTTCTGAAGTTTGATTTTTATTTAGCTGCCTTTGAGTGGGTGTTCAGGGACCGGAGAAAATCATTACGCATTAAATGTCTAACTGGCTGCGTTAAAGAAAGATTTTTTTTTTTTTCCTTTTCTTCTTTTTAAGGCTCGTACTCAACTCTACCAGCAGTTAGGACAAGCTCTGCTAAATCTCCAAGGAGGGTGGAAAAGAGAGGAGGAAAAACTAATTACATTAACGCAGCCGGATGGGACACGCTTTAGAAAACAGCGATGGGAAAACCTGACTTATTTAAAAGCCGACTTACAAAGTCAACTTAAAAAATAACCCGAGAGCAGCGTCCGTCTCACGTAACAGGAGCGAGGGAAGCGGCCGAGGGGTAAAACACCGTCTCACCATTTTAATCTCCCAGTTCACGTTCCACTGTGAACCGCCAGGTTTTGACGGCGTCGCCCGTGCTGGCGTCCATCCGTATCAGCCGGTTGTAGGCGATGCCGATCAGCTCCTCCTTCTTGCCTCCCTGGAACCTGCGACGCGGCGAGGGATTAGTAAACGCACGCCTGCGATACGCGGCAACGCGCGTTGAATTCAGCAGCTGAGTTAACTTATAAAACCGGTTTTATAAGTCGATGCACTGAATGCTTTTAATTTCAGTTCCAGTGCAACTTCCACGGCTAAGGACGTGCTGCGTATTTAATACCCCGGGTATTTACTCATGAAATTCCCGCTCTGCCGCCCGGCAGACCCACCGACCTTGCAATGAAATGCGTGATGCCGAACTCCGGCAGCGACTGCCAGGCTTGAATAAACCGCATCTTCGCCTCGATGAGACTCATCTGAGCGACGTTCTGGTGGGCTTCCAGGATGCGTGCCGTGATCTGCGGGTGGCGAGACACACCGGCTTTAGAGAGGGGGTTCGTTAGCGGCATCACGACTGTCACCCTCGCGCCAACGGGTAACGACTCGGGAGGTAATTGGGGTCGGCGCGAGTCAGCGCGGTTACGAACAACGCAGATGATCGGTAATTTCTACCCTGAGGATGGATTTCAGCTACAACCTGCGACCACGGCTGATAAACGTGGAGCTGCTTTGGCTTCGTATCTCCAGACGTATAAAAGCAAATATAGATCTGAGCTGCCTGGAGGCAAAGAGCCGCTCCGGTTCGTTTAGTCTAAGATGCAGGATTTGAGCAAACGGCGGGGCAAATTTCTGGTGTAGGGTTTCCAGTTTCGCAGCATAAATCACAGGGGATCATTTTAAAACCCAAACAGGGCCCAAGTTTCTCCG